TATATATATATATATACATACATACATACATACACATAGTTTCAAAGCACGGTAATGCAAGCGACTGCGAGCAAAACGAAATCACGAATCGATTGGGTGAATCAAAGTGAAGATGCATTGAGGACAATATTCCCATTGTCTGATATATGTGAAATTAGTGGTGGATTTAATTAGGGATACTCTGAGTTTGAGGAAAGCATCATGCTTATCGTGTGAATTTGATTCAGTTGTATATATAGCTTGACACATTTCCTCCGATATATATTCGCTTACGATGCAAGAAGCACATCAGGATGAAAAATTTAATGAAAAGATTTAAATTTCTCGCGTATACAATTTTTCTTCACACTGACTCATGTTTAAAGCTACTTTATTTTTTTTTTGTGTCTTTTATTATTCCATGTGATAAATAATGTGAGGCGCGTGAAATCGTGTATATAAAAACTCTATTTTAATTCCTCGAATTTTTTAAACATATTTTCTCATAAAGAATAATATGACATTCAATGAATATGAAGGTTAGAATATTTATAAATTTTTGAATTTTCAAAATTTTGTATTTCATTTAATGAAAAAAAATTGAATGAATTGTGTACTTATAAATGTATTTTGTGTTTTTAATAATTAAAATGATATAAACAATAATATAATTTAATAAATATAATATAAGAATAATTTAAGAAATACATTTCAAGAATCATTTATACATTATTTATGACATTGAGTATAAGATTGAGGGTGATTTGTATTTTGCTTTCGAACTTCAATCTGCATAGAGAAATTTTTATTTGTTTCATGCGTTATTATTCGACATGATGTAAAAATGTGGGCGCGATTAATTGGATATCGAGAATAAAAGTGAACAACGTCAAACGACAATTTCGAGAATGATTAGTCATACGCTCGTTATCAGAATTACAAAGCCGCGGAGCTTTATCGTTCTGGAAACAAGTTTAAAGCTCCGCTTTGTTACTAATGAGTCAGAGAACACGCGCAATAATATTCTCCACATGTATCCACGTTTGTTAATTAACCACATGGCTAGACGACGGAGAGACAGTCGCTTCATATTTGAAAGGGCGTATACATTTTATCGTGTGAGTAAGTTTGATATTACATTTATAACGTTACAGATTAATATTCATTCATAACATCTATTATTTCTTTTAGGCAGATTCTTATTTTCTTTCTTGTTGTTTGAGAAGACATGTTGCTGAAACAAAACGCAATGAAAAGTATAATAGAATGATATAAAAGAGAATTTAATTATTGGAAGATATTATACATTTTAAAAAATATCGATGGATTTGACACCATATTTATACGATATTTATATAATTCTTACTGTGTTGGTGTGAATATTAGCACCAATATGCTGAATTTAACACTATAAGTTTTAAATACATATCATGATGGTACAGACATCAAGGATTATCCATCTTGTTGAATAATATTAACACCAATGTGGTGAGAATTATATAGATCTCACCAATGTGATGAGAATTATATAGATATCGATGTGGAACGTTATAACATCGATA